TGGATGCCCGCGGGGGCCTGCCACCTTCATATGCTGGCGGACCTGCTTATAGAGTCAGGTTCCCCTCACCACGCTGCACTGGATGCCCGCGGGGGCCTGCCACCTTCATATGCTGGCAGGCCTGCTTATAGAGTCAGGTTCCCCTCACCACGCTGCACTGGATGCCCGCGGGGGCCTGCCACCTTCATATGCTGGCAGGCCTGCTTATAGAGTCAGGTTCCCCTCACTACGCTGCACTGGACGCCAACTGGGGCCCATCCCCAATCATGGGCTGGCAGGCCTGCTTATAGAGTCAGGTTCCCCTCACTACGCTGCACTGGACGCCCACGGGGGCCCGCCACCATAATGGGCTGGCAGGCCTGCTTATAGAGTCAGGTTCCCCTCACTACGCTGCACTGGACGCCCGCGGGGGCCCGCCACCATCATATGCTGGCAGGCCTGCTTATAGAGTCTGATCGCAGGGCTCGGAAAAGTCCCAAACTGGACATAAAGCAGATTTTGAGCTGGTCATGTCATTATAATGTATTTCAAAAGTGGGCATGTTTAATAATATATAACAATAATAATTTCACTAAAAAGAATGACCTGCAAACTCCAGTAACTACCCCTGCCAGTGACCAAGGCCAATCCTGCATATGTAGCTATAATGCTAAGCAGTCACATCCCTTGGCATGCCAACTATGTGAAAAGCAGAGGAATTCGCTTAACAAGCAGTGCAAATGGCTAATTAACCTAGTAACCTAAGCACCTGTGCCCAGAGCTCAGTACAGCCAAGTCTTCAGTGGGATTTTCCACTTAGTACGGGACGGGACGGGACGGCACTCGGGCACAGAATACAGCAGTTAAAGAAGCCAGATTTGCGTGAAGAAGCAGGTCTTCAGTCTGCTCCAGCACAGAGGTTGAAAACACAAATATTACCCATAAGGCTGTGCCCCAGGGTAGGCTGAATCCAGCCCTCATCAGGCAAGGCCGTGCTCTCAGGGACTGGCGCTTGGTCTTGCCTAAAGACGCCCGGCCCTCCCATCCAACCGCGGCCCGATGGAGGGGCTTGGGGACTCACCTGTCACATTTAAATCGTAGTCCTTGTTGCACATGTGGGTGTAGCAGCACTTGGGGTGGACGCTAGTGTCCCCTTTGATGGAGTCGGCACAGACGAACGGTCGCTCTTGGGGAATCAGGTCTTTCTTAGCGACGCAAAGCTTCTCCTCCACTTTAATCTTGTTCCCAGACTTCAAGACAGTGACGAGGCAGACGCCGTCCGTAGAGCATGTGAAGTTACTGCAGTGCTGGCAATAACACTCTAAGGCTAAAAAAAAGAGGGGGGGGGGGGTTGAGAAGGCAAGTTAGCTGTGATTACAGTGTTGTTTATTCCATTTAAGGTCTTACAAAACAAGCTTTCTGTCGGGACTCGGGGACTCAATGTCAGAAAGGCACCAGAAACAGCTTTTGCAATCATGGCGGCTGAGGCACCACTATCCTTTTGCTCAGGGAACGGGGCAGCGAGGCAGGGAAACCGAAGAGGGAGCTCAGAGGGCCCGGCGGCCTGGGCCAGCCTGCATGCGCGGCCTATTCAGCGGCATGACGGTCTCCCCACGGCTGAGTGGCATGACGGCAGCGTGACGCCCCAGTCACACGCGCCAAACCACAGGCAGCCAGTGAGTCAACTAGGTCTAGACACAATCTTATGTTTTTAATTCGGACGCAGGAAAACGTCCGCATTTTTTATTTTCGGAACAGCCTTTACATCGCAGGAGTTCTGGAAAGCATGGAAATCGCCCTTTGGTCACCGTGGGAACGGGAGCCCAGCTCAAAGTAAATCTTTCATGTGTCTGTATCAGGGATCTTCACATCTTTCGATTGGCTGATAAATTCCTGCACCTTAATGCTGTTTTAGGCAGAAAACCCACCCATAAACTGCCTGTATGTCTTTAAACATTTACAATTTGGAAAAAAAAGCCCTCTAACAGGAGAAAAAGCTGGGAAGTGATGCTTCCTACATTAAAACTTACTAACAGTCCCAAGCTAGCAGTGGTAGGTTTTGCAAATCAGCCTACGGCCGTATGTAGCCATATACAGTAAAGAGAAATTCATTTTGCTTTGAGATTAATGTGCAGTGGTTACACGTGTGAGGTGAAACCGCAAGAACCAACATCGGATATAGATTCTGCCCAGAACAACCAACAAAACTCCACATCTACTTGATCTTAAAGTCCCTGCCTTTCTTAAATTAAACATAAAAATCTGTTATTGCTTAACAGCTGGTGATTTGCAGTTATTTCCTTATTAAGTTATAAGACTAAGTTATTAGGTAGCTCGATCAGATCATACAAAGGCACTGTTTAAGTACCATTTAAAACTGCTGTCTATTAAATTTTTGACCACGTAATAAATTTTTAGCTCCGTAATATCGGTACTGGTACCAAACATGAATTATTGATAAAAAGATAAGGCTTGATATCCAAGGCAGGAGACATGAGTGACACCATTTGAAGTGCATAAAGCATAAGAATAGGAAGCAGGCAAACAGGGACGGCCGGCTGTAGCGGTGCACTGGGTAGCTGTGCAAGGCTGCGGGGCCAAAGCCTAACCTAGGGGGGGGCAATGCTGCCTCCCCCCCAGCCTGTTTAATACCTTGAAAAAATTAGTAATTTCCACTGCATAAGAAGTTTTTCCCCCAGAGCCAGCCGGCGAGGTCCCTACTCCGCACAGCAGACAGACGGCCAAGCTCAGCCCATGTTGACCAGCTACGGATGATTACTACTTCTGCTCAGCTAAAGACGGAGCTACGCTACGTGAATCTGCCACGGTCACACTCACAGAGAGGACGCGCTCACAGAGAGGACGCGCTCACAGAGCGCTGTGAGAAGCGGAACCGGCAAGGAGACAGCGGCTCTGCGGCTGGAGGTTCAGGCCTGCGGCCTCTCGGCCATCGGAAGGGGAAGAGAACAGCGATTCCCAGTGGGAAATCCCAGTGGAGAAGTTTCATCTTCGCCTACCCAATTTTGCTCTCCATGAGACACAGGGACACATATACAGTTGAGAGCGAAGCTTAGGGGTGACAGCAGAGGGTTATCCAGCGTGCGGCACCCCAGCAGCAGGGGCTTAAGGGCCTCACTCAAGGGCCCGCGGACATGCAGCTGAAAGGTCGCCGATTCCAGCCTGGATTGCAGGCACCACAGCTCAGCCCACTGAGCCACACGGCGCCCCCAGCTTAACGCCTCCAGCTGGCAGGGGGGGGAAGACATAGCTACCTCCTCCATCACCGATCAGCCCTGACCTCAGGACGAGACCCCCCCCCCGATCCTCAGTGATAACTCGTTTCCCTCCATCTGATCGAAAAAACAGACCCGCCATGAATTCAGCAGAGTGCCTTCAGGCTAAACGCATTACAAACCTCTGGAATGACAGCTTCTGGGGGGGG